ATTTAAAAACTGCATGTTGTGTTTACTTGTGTTATCTTTGACTAATATTTAAATTTGTTTGATGATCTGAAACATTAAAGTGTGACAAACATGCAAAAAAATAAGAAATCAGGAAGGGGGCCAACACTTTTTCACACCACTGTACATCTTAATAAACATGAAACTATCACAAAATAATAATTAATATTATTATTGTTATCAACAATTTTATAATAGATATAAAATGACACTAATTAAAAAATATATAAATTTTATATTAATATAAATATAAATATAAATATAATATAAATATAAATATTATATGTAATATTACTAAGTAAAAATAAGAATAATTTATTGTGGTCTTTTTTACATTCAGTAACGAAAAACACAAAAATACAATTAAATTTAAAAAAACTAAAACAAAACAAAATAAAATAGTGTGGATACAGGTGAGATTTTATTTCTATACAAATCAGGGAGACTGTCTCAATCTCCTTTCACTGAGAATCATGGGATTCAATCTATGAAAACTGGACTTGCATTGAAACATACCTGATCCTACTCAAGTGAGGTGGACTCAAGTCTATTTGGTTTCTTACCAGGTTTATGTTGACTGGCTTGTCTCTGCGGCCGGTCTGCACCAGGAGTTTGTAGGCCAGGACGCCATCATCAGAGCCATTCCTATAGTTCCCCTGAGTGATCCTACCGGCCTGCCAATCCTTATCGAACGCCTCCTGCAGACCTGCCGGGACACACACATTATTTTGAGTACATCGTTCAAAAGGTTATAGATAAACCATGTTAACCTTTCCTCTCAGTCATCCCTCGACTCTCTCTCTCCCCCCTCTCCCCCCCCCCTCTCTCCTCAACGCCAGTGGTCCGTTTCTGGGGCACATTGCTTTTTCTCTCCCTCACCTCACTGTCTGTGACCAATTTGTCGAGCCATTTCAAACCACAATATTAAAGACAGCTCTCTCCACCCTCTCTGGAACAGCCTTTACTGAAGCCCATACGCACATACATAACGCAAAGTGAACGCACACATAGAGATGCTGCCCCTGCACCGAAAAAGAAAACATGTGGTCCAATGAGAGTGCTGAAAGGATTAAACAAAAGAAGGTCATTGGAAAACGGCAATGATGTTTGAGGTTCTGTTTGGCCAACAAAGCAAGTCTGTACATGCCCCCCAAACCTAGTCTGGACAGAAGCCAGTTGGAGAAAGGTATGCCTTTCTAAAGAGGAGCTGGGAGAGAGAAAGTGGGCAAAACAAGTTTTGCTTCTGAATATGGCCCGCCTGGGATTAGATACGACATTCTGAAAGAAGCCACTGTAGAGGAGGCCACAAGGAAAAAAGATGTTGCAGGGACATGCCCTGTATCTCCCAATCTACTTGTTTTTTTTTCACTCTTACCTCAACTGCATTTTTTTGTCCCCACACTGTTTCTTTCTTTTTTCCCCCACATTTTCACTCTCTGGTTTTAATCTCTCCATTTAAATCTCACTCTCGGATCATAATCCGTTTTAAGACATTAAATGTGTTACAGATTTGGAGGTTTAGCAGTGTGATTGATGTTTGTGAGAAACAGATGATCTGACGTTGGTAAAATTGATGTAAAACTCGTCTCCAATGAAGCAAGGCACTGTCTGGAAATCAAGAGTCTGTAAAAATGAAGCATTTTGTAAAACTCAAATGTTTTTGGACAAAATTTAATTGTTTATTGGCAAATGAAATGTTGGGATTTTTTCCATGTTTTTGAAAGAAGTCTCTTATTGAACTTTCTTATGATTTATTTGATCAAATATACAGTAAAACCATAATGTAGTGAAATATTTTTACAATTTACAGTAACTGTTTTCAATTTAATATATTTTAAAATGTAATTTATTCTTGTGATGGCAAAGCTGAATTTTTAGTTTTCATAAATCATTCTACTATGCTGATTTGAAGCTATTTCTTCTAATTATCAATGTTAAAAAACAACTGTGCTGCTTAATATTTTTGTGGAAACCATGATACATTTCTTTCAGGATTGTTTGAAAGCTCGAAAGAACATCCTTTATTTGTAATATAAATGTCTGAGCTGTCACTTTTAATCAATTTAATGCATCATTGCTTAATAAAAGTATAAACATTTTTAAACAAAACAATGTATTAACATTTATGCAGAAAACAAACAAAAGAAAAGCATATGTTTATGTTGGTCCATTTCTTGCAAGTCAGGTGATCCCTTCCTGTCTAAACGTGCAGTTTTTGGTCAGAATTAGCTATAATCAATATTACCAGACCTTTTGCGGTTTATAATTATAAGGGATAATTCTCCCAAACATTTAAATTCTGTCATTAATTATTTAGGTTCTCACGTCATTCCAAACCCACAAGACCTTCGTTCATCTTTGGAACACAAATTAAGATATTTTTGATTAAATCTGACAGCTTTCTTCTGACCCTGCATAGACAGCAATGCAACTGACACGTTTCAAGGCCCAGAAAGGTAGTAAGGACATCGTTAATATAGTACATGTGACATCAGTGGTTCAACCTTAATTTTATGAAGCTAGGAGAATAAATATCTTCATTTGTGTTCCAAAGATGAACAAATGTCTTACGGGTTTGGAACGACGTGAGGGTTAGACAGAATGTTCATTTTTAAAGGTTTGACCTCCACCAATGGTCTCTGATGCAAGACTGATTGATTACACATCTGAGTGTATTACCTTGCAGCCAGTCTCTGAAGTAATGCAGCCACATGCGTGGGAGCTGGCCGTTCTCCTCCCACAGGACGTACTTCACAGTGCCGAAGTGTTGGTGCAGCTCATAGAGCTGAGGCTGGATCTGTGCGTAGTCAGCTTTCTGGGTCACCACGTACATGTTATAGAAGGAAAAGTAGCGGAACTGGGCACGAATGAAGTCGTATTCGCCCGTCTCTCGTGGCACAATGTCAGTCAGCTCTAAACCGTCCCGGACACGGGTGGTGCCGTACAGACTGACCCCGAGCAGTGCCAAGAAGAGAAAAATCACCACCACCTGATAGGAAACACACACAAAAAGTCAGATATGAGTCAGGGTTTGGCTACATCTGAAACTACTGCTGTTTTAGTGTCTTATGACGAAGTTCTGCCCTGTTTGAGGTGTTTGTGGTTTTCAGAAGGCCTTGACTCACAAAATAACACTTACACAACACAAGATACACTGCCGCTCAGTCAATGCCAGGATATTAGCTCATCGCTGGCATCCATAATCCCACTTCCAATCGGACAATGTGCACAACATTTACCCTCACCTTTGTTGTCGGCTGCAGCAGAAACGGCGCATAGTGCTTTTCGGCGAACGATGCAAATGTCCATCGTGAACACGGCGGCTCCAGACAGCGTAAACTCGACTCCCCAAATTGAGATAGCAAGTCTCGTGTGGAGCTCGCGCCGTCGGGACTCTGGCAGGATGCTGTATCAGAAGCCGGTCCTGGCCCTGCACTGCTGCTGTTGTTGCGGTTGTTGTTGTTATTGTTGTTGTGGTTGGGATTGGGATTGGGGGCATAGGGTTGAACGGAGATGTGAGAATGGGGCTCGGCCGTGGTGTAGTAGGCCTGTGTTCTGGGGTCGTACTCTGTGCGCAGCTGTACGGTGGACTGCATGGTGATTTGGGTGTGCTGGGCGAAGCTGTGGCTGCTGTAGGAGGGTGGAGGGCTGCAGCGGCTGGATTCAGCAGAGGAGTCAGCAGACGCCGCCTGCGGCTCCAACTGGATCACCCGGTTAGCGCAAGGACTAAAGGAAAGCAAGAGAAAGACAAAGTGCATTTTAGTAGCACAAAAGCACCATGTAATAGTTTATTATGTGTGGAATTTCCTGCAATATTGATTTATATCACAACAACGAGAAATGATACAGAAGAGCTGGGAAAAATTTGGCATGTATAGACTAATGTTTACTATAAAAGATGTTTCATCTTAAGAATTGTTTCTTCTAAGATGCCTCGACAAATTTTAAGCATCATATGTATCCTTAAGAGAGAATCCAACCCCATAATGCATGTGACACAGTTGTGTAGCGTCCCAGTTCACCTACTTACACTATGCACAAAAAAGTCCTTGTTATGTGAAGAAAGTAGATACTTTTAAGTGTTGAAGAAATATTATCACATCATAATTGCATCTTTAACAATTAACATGCATTCTGTTGATGCTAACTGGCCTGTCAGTCATTTTGTCACTGTTAATGTATTCATATACACATGCAAAAGCATATTTCAGTTATTTAGTTTAGACTCCTCAAGAATTCTTCCTACCATATTGGAGAGAATCGAAGAAGCACATCGATCTACTAGTCGTGGGTCATTCTTACAAAGAACTCTCCTCATGTTTTTGCATAATAAAGCATTTAAAAGTTACTGGACTAATTTATTTTTATAAAAAATGTACAATGCTGTTGCAGATAAAATTTAATTTTATCAGGTTGCATACAGGTTATTAATCATTCGAACCCTTTCATGTAAATCGCTTTACTTAAGCATCCACCTAGCACACCTGCCATATTTGTAGTTCCTTTTATTCGTGTTTGTAGTTCTAAAATGAATTCTTTGGCAAAACACAATGGGTAGTATTCAAATTGGAATGCAGCATTAGAAAAAACAATACAGGATTTTGAACGAGGTAAAAGAAAGTGAATAAAAATGATAATTTTATCCAATATCTGTGCATGTTCCGTATATTTTTATTATTATTAGATTATCAAGCTGTTAGTAATATGAGCCATTTGTGGCTTATGGTCAATGATGGTTAGTATGCTGCCTTAGCAAATGTAGGCTGCTAACTAGGTTTTGTAACAGAGCCTGTCTCTTTTCCATGATTTTCTAAATGGATGGAGAGTTAGCGAGTGAGCTTGTAAACGACCTTTAGATGTAGCAACTCGTTACTCTTGAGCGCTCATGCAAATGCATGTAAATACAACCGCAATCAGCTTTCCAGTCGAGAGCAATTAAAGCCGAGACGCAAGTGAGTGTCAGTGACTAGAAAGCAAGCGTTTCAACCATGGTGAAAGTAAAGGCATCAGGTTTAATTTCCTGCAGGAGTTTGGGGGCATGACTAAGAAGGTAAAGTATGTGCCTATAGCCCACTTGCTTTCTCTCTCTCTCTCTCTCTCATCAGACACCAGGAACGTTGAAGCACGCAGGAGAGGCAACAGCATGTCTTATTTGAGGGCCCGGGGCCTCAGACAGAGATAAACATCAACATGCGCACATATGCACAAAAAGTATAGATGTTAGGGCGGGCAGGTTGATGCTTAATTGTGTGGTTTATACGGCACTCAGTGTCATAACAGGCTGTTGTATATATTATATCTGAATGAATTTGTTTGGAAAGATCAAAAAACCATATCACACCCTGACCTCAGAGAAAAAGTGATGGATGGTTATATGGCAGTGTGAGGTTGTTTGTCTGTGCTTGTTTCGCTATACTTCTGAGCGACAAATTTGAAAATGTCTTCACGATTATAATAAGCCATCTTAAAACTCACTAGTTAAAAAGTTATACACAGAGAACAGGTAATGGAAAATATGTTTGTGGGTGTACACTACTGTTTGGGTTAGTCATTTTTTTAAAGACATGAATCATTTTAAACAGCAAGAATGCATTAAATTGATTAAAAGTAACAGTAAAGACATACATAATGTTACAAAAGATTATAGAAATAAATAAGAATCCTAAAAAAGTATGTAGGACAAAGTATGAAAAGTGTTTATTTTGTGTTTACTATACTTAAGGGACAAAACCATCCCTATAAGGACATTTGAGGACTTAAAGGTAAAAATGGTTGGTAAAAATAAATTAAATGATGCTTTTCTTCTAAAAGTGCAAAACATTTTATATTAGGGTAGAGTTAGGCTAAGTGTGCATTTAATATAATTAGATTGCAAAGGGGCAGAACATTTCTGGTAAATTCCTGGAAACTTAAAAAAAAGTTTCCAAAAATCCTGGAAAGTTTCCAAAATGTATCGGGAATTTTCTGCCCCTTTAAAACTTATTTAAGATGTGTCTTCTTTTAGCCAGGTTAATGTTTGTGTGCTACCTGACAAAGCAGCAGAAAATGTCGAAGCGGCGGTCCTCTCGGCGGTACAGGTCCATGCTGAGGATGGCAGGAAAGATGAGCAGCACCATAGCGAAGTTAAACACCACGACCACTGCAGCCTGAGAGAGAAAATGAAGATGTTAAGCACATATTCACACTCACACAAAATAATCACACACAGCGACACCCGCACATCTGCAGAGGGTCTATGCCAAAACCACAATGAGCCCAACAAATTCAATTTTAGACAATTATCCTCTTCATAAGAGATGAATGACAAACAAATAAAAAACACAACTCTTGCCATCCCAAAATTAAATTTGGGCTTATCCAGTTCGGGTGAAGCCCACCTAAATTTCTAAATGTAAATCACATTGCTATTGAATTCATAATTCAATACACACACTTCCATATGAAGAACTGGGAAAAAGACTTTCAGCTAGATGTGGCTCTCTTGACCTTGGGAAACTGACACTTTCTTTCAGAGCCGATATATCACAAGCTTACTAAAAAGACTTCACCGGGCCAAGAGCTCCTTAACAGTGTGGAGAAACAAACAAGTGATCTGAAACTTTTAATCCGGATTCATTCGGTTGAAGCTCACAGAATAACTAATGTGAGAACAGCAACTGAATAAAGAAAAGTGACATGACAATGAAAGTCAGAAACCGAGGAAGAGAGAAAGAGAGGGCAGATTGAAGCATGCCTGCCCTAGTTAGGGTGTATTTTTTATGGGTGGAGGTTGGAGTTATGTCAGACTGCCAGACCACCCAGAGAGCAGCTCAGCCTGACAGAGCCAAGACACAATGAGAGAAACTCACGTAAACAAAGCAAGTCCCAAAGGCATTTGGACAATTCATCTACACTTAAAAATGTGTGAATGTCACTGCATTAGACAGCACAATATCAAATTTATCAACACATGAGAGAAACAGAGAAAACAGATGACAGAATGTGCGTGAGTGATTCTACAAAGAGATTTGTTAGGCCTGACATGTGCACATGCTTTTATGCTGCCAAAGAAATAGATAAACAGACTGAAAGAGAGGGAGGTGCCAAAAACAGTGCTAAATAGAGACAGAAGAATTGAAACAAAACATAATTAAAACAGAAACAGCGTCACCATGAAATGGTAATCCCCATCCATTTACTTCTGTAATGTTATTAGACAAAAATAAATGTTATCAAAGATGGCGATTTACTATATCTTAATAAAAAAAATGTTACACTGCAATTTAAAAATGATTTGTTACACAACCATTTAAAATTTAAAACAGTTCTTTCAGGATTCTTTGATGAATAGCAATTTCAACAGAATTTCTTTGACACTGAATACATATGTAACATTATAAATGTCTTTAATGTCAGTTTCGATCAATTGATTGCATCCTTGCTGAATTAAAGTATTAATTTTTTTTTAAAAATCTTAATTAGAATATATGAGTAAATTTGGTCAAATTTCATTATTTTCTTGACTTTAAAGTTGACTTTGATATTTTAGGTAAAATAAGTAGGAGCTTATTAATAAGTTTGGTATTCATAAAATATGAATACCAAATTTTAAAGCATGTTCCCCAAATTAGAGAAGCTGTGCCACAAAATTTGACAAAAGCTTAAGTAAACATATTTGGACACAAACGTTCAAGTGCACACATTTGTACACATAATCAGAAGTAAATATTTGGACACAAAAGCTGAAGTAAACACATTTGGACACTACAGCTGGAAAGACTGTTACAGCAGGAAATAACACGTTTACAAAAGCAGTGCATGTGTGTGTGTGTGTGTGTGTGCGTGTGCGCATGTGTTCTCAGAGGTTTTGAAGATGAGTGTTTTCAGGCACCATTGAACAGGTGCCAGTTGGAGTGTCTGAAAAACAGCATGTGTGTGTCTGACAGACGTGTGTGAGACATCAATCCACACATCCTAATACTAGATCTACAGCGCTGTACGAGTGTGTGTGTGTGCGCACGCGTGTTTAGGCGTGAGCCACGTCTTGCGTGTGGTCAGCAGGCTCATCCCGCACATTATTCTTCTGAAAATATGCAATCATCGAACAGACACAAACACTACATGACAGTTTACACTGGCAGATATAAAAAGCAATTCTGCTTTTAGGATCAAAGGGTCCTGCAAAAGGGGAGGTTGTCTGTAGGGTTTAAGCTGAGATTTGTGTGAATGTGTTTGTTGAACAGAACAAGGCATCAGTGTGTAAATCTCTGCGTCTGCCTCCGTTCAGCTGTGCAGGTTATGTGGATGATGGCGAGGTTACTTCACCTAAAGTTCAAGGGTTAAGCAGCCCAAGTGCTGAGTCTGTGTGTTTCATGTGAGGGGGATGTTCAAGCGTCTAATGGAGAAAATCTTTAAACTGATTAAGCAGGTTCAAATGTAGGTATTCAGATTTCACAGACCATTTAAAGGGACAGTTCACCCAAAAATAAACTCTTTTCATAATTGATTCACCCTCATGTTCTTATAAAGAGTTACTTTTTGAATGAACGGGAAATTGAGTTCTTAATCTTCAAAAAAGGATGTGAAAGAATGTGAAAAAGGATGTGAAAGCCCCATAACACGGTGTCCTAACTACACGCGACGCGACAAGATTCCAGTGCCAAGCAATTTGGGTGTCCACACTAGACGCGATGCAACAGAATCAATCAAATATCACAGCCAATCAGAAGCGTGCGTGGGCGCGCTCTCTCTGGAAGCGCACTGCACTCGCAACGAAATGGATAAGTTTATAATCTAATTCATAAATATTAAACCTTTTTAACATTATTAAATAGTGCTGTCAAACGATTAATCGCGATTAATCGCATCCAGAATAAAAGTTTTTGTTTACATTATATATGTATGTGTACTGTGTATGTTTATTATGTATATATAAATACACACACATACAGCATATATTTTGAAAATATTTACATTTATACATTTATATATTCATATTCTTATATTATATATAAATATATTTTATTTATATTCTTTATATTCTTTATAAAAGTTAAGAGTCAGCCACACCTACCTAAAACCGCTTGTTCTAACACGCCCCCACATACCTACGTCGCTATGAAGGAAGATTCGCATAACGCCGCCCAAATGTTCACGCAAAGAAAGAAGGCGTAACTTTTATTCTCGCTGTAGTTTTGATGTTTCCGCCGCCATGTCGTAAAGACGCTGTGTGCTTCGTTGTGTAAGTGAAACTACTTTGTTTGGCCTTCCAAAAGAGGACGATATCTGCTTCGTCATGCCTGGAGCTGATCCGTGCTGGTTGCTGAGGAAATACTACAACTTTGCACTGTCAATGGCCGGATCGGCTTTCACCATGGTCGTCACATGTCCTTCCGGACATCACATGTCCTTCCGGACGCTCCTTCGTCGAAATCGCCGGCCGCGCCGTTCTCAAGTCCACCCGCCTCTGCTCACTCTAACCCTCCCACCGTTCCTCACTTTATCCCCCGGCTTCTGCTCACTGTAAGCCGGCGTGTGTGACGGTGTGATGCTGTTTCGTTGTGAAAGCGAAACTACTTTGCTTGGCTTTCGAAAAATGAACACGACTAGAAATCAGTGGTTAAGTTGTATTTACAACACCGTTCCAGAATACTTCAACCCAAATATCCAGATGTGTGCAGCACATTTTATGGAGGACTGTTTACTGATCCTGGAAGAGTAGACTACAATGCCGGCTGTTCTGACTCAAAGAATGTAAGTACGTCTTTTATATTTAAAGTGTCTTTATATTTTATATATTTAAAGCGAGTTTTTTGGGCAGTGTAGAGTAGGGCTTGTTGTTTTTCATTTCTCCGATCACAAATGCAGACATAGTTTTATGTTTACGCGGCGCGATGCAACGCAACACGTAAAAAGACAGTATAAGTCATTATAATCCATAATTATGTCCCCACTGGATGCAACGAATGCCTCGTTTATAATGGGTTTTCATATTTTTGTCTCGTCGCTCCGGCCTGACAGGGCATCATCACAGTATGTGAGGGGCGTAACATTTCCGTCTCACGCTTGAGGTATTCGGCCAAACACAACACACTGGATAGTTGGCCAATCACAGCACACCTTGCTTTTCAGACTGATGAGCTTTGTAAAAATCGACGCGTTTCAGAAAGGCGGGGCACAGAGGAGAAACAATAATGTACAGTATGTGGAAAATAATGTGTTTTTTTAACCTTAAACCGCATAAACACCATTCATTACACCAAATACACAAAATAATGTTCTTTTTAGCAGCATCATATGACCCCTTTAACTGATTTTCAAGATCTGAGGTAAACTATCTATTGTTGCTTTCAGTATGGCTATAAGGCCACACAATATAATATTCAAACTCCCATTAGACACGTTTAACTTTGAATAAAGTACATAATTACCTGAGATTATCTACTGTCATATAGTTGGTATGCTGTTGTTCCAGTCGCGACGTCGCGGAAATAGAAACCGTTTCAAAAATAGAGAATGAGCTCAACTTCTGATGAAAAGCTTTCTCGCCCCTGTTATTATGCGGATTTTTAGAGAGAGGAAAAACACAAAAAAGAGATTCATTTCCCTCCCTTTTCTTTATCCCTCACTCACACAGAAATATTTTCCATCAAAGGCAGGACATATCCTTTTAAACAAAGCAGCCCGGGGTGCAGAAACACGATTGGCTCGCTGTCTTGTTAGGATAAACTCTCTCTCCTCATTTCAAAGCCATTCAGGGTGCGAGACGCATGAGAAACAGTTCCAAACCCCACCTCCGTACACACGGAGGTAGAGATGAGGAGAAGGAGAGAAAGAGGGAACGTTTTTTCTGGTATCTGAGGACGTGCAGGACCACACACAGCGTGTTTTAAGACAGGAGTGCTCTGTGCTCTCTCTCTCTCTCTCCCCCTACAGGGGAACTGTTTACTTTCCACACAAAAGTGTCGCTGCACGCTGTGCAATCTCACATAAACACAAGCAAATACATGCCTGAACTCAGCCGTCTGCATGAGAGTCATCTAAATCACCACTCATACACGACCACACGTAAACGCAAATGAAAGCTAAACAAAGATACCCTTGACAGATGTATCAACGGAAACGTATACACAATCTACTAAAAAAACCCAGATCATATACACATAAGATTACTGTCGTCCAGTCGAATCTCGCAAATAAAACTAACAACTCAAATGCCTGTGCTAGAAATGGTTTCACAGAAACTGATTCAAGATTAACACCTGGCAGTACCACGGTAAAGTGATGATATCAGATGGTCATACCACAGTACTTTGATATACTAGAAAGGCCAAAAGTATGGATAAAAGTAAGAAGTATAAAATACCAATTAATGAACAAATGACTCTAATGAGCTGATCTTTTAATGAATACTCTGTTCAGAAATACTCTGGAGTTACCGGTTTGAACAAGACAAATCCTTTAATGAATGAACCGAGTATGTCTCCAGTTATCATTACTTTTGGTTATTTTCATCCTCAAACAAAGCAAGCATTTAACACTTAAGGTTTGTAAATCTGTATCATTACTGATTGTTCAGATATATATATATATATATAACAATTTTCAAAAATTATGTTTTTTCATTGTGCATTCCAATTAATTTCAATTAAACTGCAGTTTGGTTATTTTGATTAAGTAAAAATAAATAAAATAAATAAAATACAGCTAACTAACACAATAAAACACAATAAACACATGATAACATAATAAAAAACATGATTTTGCACATAAACTTCACTCACACACACACACACACACATACACACACACATATATATACAGTGGGTACGGAAAGTATTCAGACCCCCTTACATTTTTCACTCTTTGTTACGGTGTATATTTATTATGTATATATAAATACACACAGATACAGTATATATTTCAAACATATTTACATGTATATAGTTATATTCATATAATTTATATTATATATAAATATATTTAATACATAAACATAACATATTTTTCTGAAATATATACATGCATGTGTGTGTATTTATACATACATAATAAATGTACACAGTACACACACACACGTGTATTATGTAAACAAAAACTTTAATATGCATTGCTAAGGACTTCATTTGGACAACTTTAAAGGCGATTTTCTCAATATTTGGATTTTTTTGCACCCTCAGATTCCAGATTTTCAAATAGTTGTATCTCGACCAAATATTGTCCTATCCTAACAAACCATACATCACCGGAAAGCTTATTTATTCAGCTTTCATAAAAAAATTGGCCCTTATGACTGGTTTTGTGGTTCGTGGTCACATAATTTTTTATCTAATCCCCAAGTGAAAATAAAATTATGCATGTTTGAAAGTGCACTTGTAGTGTACTTAAAATCTTAAAAAGTACACTTTTATTATTATATATGCTGACACATTGAAGTACACTTTAAAGTACATTTTAAATTAGTGCTGGGCGGTATACCGGTTCATACCTTTTTTTTTAGTTTGTTACTCAGACGCAGGCAGTGCGCTGCATGAGATAAAAAAGTAATATAGCCAAAACAACCGCATATCCGCTCTTTAGTGTAGATGCTTGTTGATTTTATCAGACGATGCCGCGATTATAAATGAGAGTGACTCCTGGTTAACGTACTAAAAGGGGTCGTGTTTAGTCACTATTTAGTGTGGTATGTTTTGACAATATTCACTCATCATGACAGTAAAATAGGGCATTCTAAGTCAATATACTGCAGTATTTCCTCTCTCAATCAGTAGAAAATATGGTTAACACCCAGTCATGCATGAAAAAAAAAATACCGTCATGTACCGTGAAACCGGTATAATTTTGAAAAATACTGTGACATACATTTTTGGTCATACCGCCCAGCACTATTTTAAATAATCTTTTGTCATGCTTTGAAGTATACTTACGTACTGACTAACATACTAAAGCACATGCAAAGTATTATTTTAATTGTAGTTTGTAGTTTGATATTGAATTTAAAGTGAATATAGTTTAAATTTACGTAATTTCAACTTCATTACAAATGTGTAAATTTCAAGGACAGTAGATGTAATTTGAAAATTACATATAAAGATATACTTAAGCCCTACCTAAGTTGGTAAAAAACACTCTTAAGTTAAATTAGTGGCATTTAATATAATCAATTTAAATGTTAGAATAATAAGCATGTTAATTAAAGGGAAAGTTCACCCAGAAATAAAAATTGTCATCATTTACTCACCCTTAAGTTGTTCCAAGTTTCTCATCAATGGCTACCATCAACTGTTTAGTTACCAGCATTATTCAAAATGTCTTGTGTTCAACAGAAGAAAGAAACTCATACAGTTTTGGAACTACTTGAGGGTGAGTACATGATCACAGAATGTTTCATTTTTGGGTGAACTATCCCTTTTTTCAGATTTGGTGTAAATGTTTCTAATCCTAATGTTTATAACATATTTTCCTGTTATTTTGTCATGACAGTTTTGGTGTGAATGGACCATAACATGATGTTAAAGAAATCATCCATACTCCACAGATTCACAAATACTCATGTGAGTCTTTAACAGGTTAAAAAGAGTAAAGCACAGTATAGTAAATGAACCTGAACAAAAAAGAGAGGAAGTCTAGATAAAGCAAAAGCTCTTCAGATGGGGCTGGAGATGTGGGAGTTAGTTTACCATTAGGAGGTAGCCACTGGCGATACGGATCACACTGACATCAGAGAAGGACTTGAGGATGTCTTCCAAGGTGGTGGTGGTGAATGTGAGAACTTTCTGAGACGAATTTACTGACACACTCTGCTGGACAACCTGAGGACACACAGGACAGAAGAGAGAAGTAAAAAAATTATATATTAATGTTGTTTACCTTCAATTCATTTACACCCTTTCTACAATCTTCTCACTGCTCATCTTTTTTTTGTTTTGTGTTTCCCTCAGGCCAATGAAAGTAATTAAATAACGTGGAAATCACAGTCCCACAAATGTTTCACCCCTAAAACCACACACACACACACACACACAAACGCAAACATGTTCAGCCCTGCACACACACGCACCAGAAAGAAACCCTATGCCAAGCGGAGGTCAGGGCTGACAAAACAGAGACCAGATGATGTCACACACAAGCCACCAATGGGACGGCAGCTGTGAAAGAGATTGCGCGCTGAGCGGGTTAATGTGTTCCAGACGGTCCTGTCAAACACACACACACACACACACACACACACACACACACACACAGATACCACACACACGCTAAAACACACACACAGACACACAAGTGCTGGGGCCGCCACACCAAGAGGGGTTGATTTTGCAATGGACACCCACACTAGCAAAAGCAGGCTGTGCTGTAATGCTGCCACCTCAGATTAAATGAGCAAATCTGTTATTAAATCACGCTAAAATTATTTTGCTAACACTTTAAAATAAGGTTCAAGTTGTAAACATTAGTTAATGCATTAACTAACAATAAATAATACTATACAACATTTAATGATGTTGCATAATGGTAATTTTTTACATTTACATATATTTCAAATTGTATAAAAAATGTATTTATTAGGAACAAAAACACCAATTAACATAGTTCATTTATAAATTAACAACCAACCAAGGTTAATAAATGCTTTTAAAATGTTAATTTACTATATTACTAAACTTTAGATTACTAAATAAAGTTTACTATGAATATAACTTATGTCAAGTTATATTTGTTAATAGTACATTAATTAATGTTTATTTTTACATCTTCAAATATTATATATATATAAAATATAAACATTAACTTTATGCAACATTAATTACTGTTGTTCATTAGTTAGTTCATGACGCCTCAATGTAAAGGACTGAAATACCTCCAGAAGAAATATTTTCAATGCAATAACATACATCTAATACATGTGAAGGTTTTAGCGCACACATTTCTACAGTGTCCAATCACAAACTTTCCTGCCCTTACAGATGTGCCCCGTTTTTCCCAGTTCACACTTAAGCTGAGCGTTTAAAGTATGAAGAAGGGAAAAAAGGGAAGTCTATGCCTTTGAAGGACTGCACTTAAACAGCTGGGTCCTAACCTCAAGAGACACAGCCCCTTTGGAATTTATGCATTACTTATGACTCAAGATGAATGCCTTCACACTCCACGAGTGCATGTATGTGAGTGTATGTTCCAGGAAACACAACGTTGGGCTGGAGGAATGACTCGGGCCTCCTAAACGGTTCCTAACAAGATCCAGTTTTAATCAAATTAAAACCTGATGAAAGAATGAATTACTACAAATACTACAGCAGAAACAAGCACTGTAAATATCTCTACAGTAGACTGCAGTCTGGATATCCACAGAGCATCCTTTCCATCAGATGAGACGTGCACTTACCTCAGAGTATCTCCTATGCCAGGCCTCTAGTATGGCAGCTGCTATGTCCTCGTTCCAGTTGATGTGCGAGACCTCCTCGTAGCCCTTCAAGTGCTCGTACATCTGCTTTGGGGTCATGAGCTGGAACATGGTCTGGAGGGCCTGTGCACTGTGAGGAAGAGTAAAGTAGAGTGAAGGTGAACTGAACATACGGTATAAACTGACCAAGTGTTTCACTGCTGAGCAGATGTGAGATTGGAATAAGTGTGTGAAAAGGGCATGCCAAAAGTCCCCAGATGGTCCACTATTTCTGGTGGATTTGCTGGTAGCAATTTGATGACATGGTAGTGTGTCCCAAAACATGCCTACTACTACATACTCAAAAGAATCAACTTTTTCTTCAAATAAATTCTCACAGAATGTATTTATAACCAATATATTGAACCATCTGTTATGTATTTCTAATCTCCAGACGTTGTAGGCAACAGTCTAAATCATTCAGAATCAACTTAACTGACCTAAGACTCTTTACTCTGAATCATGAACTGAATCAGCTCATATCCTCAGTGAATCAACTAGTCTCGAAACAAGCCATTATATACTTTTTGAGAGCAACATAAAAAATGCAAATTTTTAAGATTATTAGAAGTTTGAGTTTTGTTATTAATATTTTTCTAATTTAAAAAATGCTGTTAATGTTTAGCATGTTGTTAAGCTTGGTTTCTTTTCTTGGGGGTCTTGACCTTGTCTGTCACTAAACCTCAAAAAGAACTACTAACATGCTGAAAAACAGCGGCCTGTCACTTTGCTCCATAGACGAGCTAAAACTTCCCCAACTGTAGAGTACAGACTCCCTCAAGTGGACTATCAACCTACTATTGTTCAATGAACACTTCTTGAAAGAAAAACCCTTGACTTTCTCTTTTCAGAAAACCACGGTTTTCAGAGTGAAACAATTCCTAGAAATCACAGCGGATGATTCCAGAGCCACTAGAGAATATTTTCCGCCACCATCACTGTTGTGTATTAAAATTTTTGGGATGTATGATAACGTTCTTTCATTTTCTTGGGGGTCTTGACCTTGTCTGTCACTAAACCTCAAAAAGAACTACTAACATGCTGAAAAACAGCGGCCTGTCACTTTGCTCCATAGACGAGCTAAAACTTCCCCAACTGTAGAGTACAGACTCCCTCAAGTGGACTATCAACCTACTATTGTTCAATGAACACTTCTTGAAAGAAAAACCCTTGACTTTCTCTTTTCAGAAAACCACGGTTTTCAGAGTGAAACAATTACTAGAAATCACAGCGGATGATTCCAGAGCCACTAGAGAATATTTTCCGCCACCATCACTGTTGTGTATTAAAATTTTTGGGATGTATGATAACGTTCTTTCAATGAGGATGATGAATTCTGTCCCCTCTCAAGCCTAAAAAGTTTCGCTCTTGGAGTAAAAGGTGTGGGCTTCCTTCAGTCTGTGGGAATGAATACTAATATGCAGTTTACTAATGATTACAATCTGCCAAGAAAGAAACAAAAAACAAACCTTACAGTGTATATGTGAGTGCATAAGAGAGAGGGAAAGACAAAGTGATCATTTATCCACTGCCACGTAATGCCCCAAAATGGTCAAACTGTGGCAAACTTAAAGACACACTTCATTTTTTCCTTTCTCTCTCTTCTATGGTTTTCACAATAATTTATTCCCTTTACAAGTAAAAAACATTAAGAAAAATCCATTCAACGTTTAAATCCCAAAGTTGTCTCTTACCTCAGAAGTTTGCCGCTGTCGTTCTTCTTGGTCCCACCTACGATAAGCTCCTCCTGCCAGTGCATGTACTTTTTGGAAAGCCCATAGCAGCCACCAGTCAGAACACGAGCCACGTCAAAAGGCTTAAAAATATGACAGATGGTAAATCAGCGACATGCTTGAGATGCAAAACAACATTGATTTAATTAGCGATTCTTTATCTGCAGCCTATGACTTCAAAAACAGACACCCAACACAGAATAACAAATACTCGCAAATGATTTTCAGCTATTGCTCTATGTCATCCCTTGTCTGCTGAACTCACCCGTGTCATATTCTTGTTGGGAGCTGACAACGGGCAGTCGGGGTCCGCAGGATTTAGGCAGGGACGGTCCATATAGCCATGGCCCACCTCTGCTTTGACCAGCATCTCCTCCCAGCTGTCCACCGGATACTTCAGCATCTTCAGCTCAGCAATGAATCCCATCGGATCAAAGTTGGTCCATTGCACTGGGTCTTTGCCACTGTGGGGAAAAGCAACTATTTTATTGTGGGATGTTCACACAGGACATGTTATAGCGCTAAAAACAGTCTGATGAAGCACAATGGAATTGAATTGGAAGCACGGTTATAGATGCATTAACTCTCATATACTATTGCTAACGCAAACACTGAGTACTCTTGCATTATCCAAAATTTCTTAGGATTGGTCCATTGTTGTAAAACTGATGTTGATCTGCTACAATTCAAATGTTTTTAAAAAGCGGCACTCACCAATGCTGCATGTATTTGTTAAAAAATACAGTAAAACAGTAATATTATGAAATACTATTACAATTTAAAATAATTGTTTTCTATTTTAATATGTTTTAAAATGTAATTTATTCCTGTGATGGCAAAGCTGAATTTTTAGCAACTATTACTCTAGTCTTCAGTGTAACATGATCCTTCAGAAATCATTCTAATATGCTGATTTGGTGCTCAAGACACATTTCTTACTATTATCAATGTTGAAAACAGTTGTGCTGCTTAATATTTCTGTGGAAGTTCAAAAGAACAGAATTTATTTGAAATCAAAATCTTTTGGAACACTCTAAATCTTGTTAATGTCCATTTTGATCAGTTTTTTAAGTCCTTGCAGAATAGAAGTATTAATTTCTTTCAAAAAATAAAATCTGACTGACCCTAAACTTTTGAATGGTAGTGTATGTTTAACCATGAAGGAGAAGCACTGACTGGGCCCTGCTTATGGGATGTTGGACGTGCTTAAAGTGGTTGGGCATAACTACGGGGAGTGGATGAAGGGTGACTGGATGGAATGCCGAAGGCTTAGGGATTGATGGACGCTGCACGTCACAGCGGTGGCAGCACTAATGTAGTTGGGATTGGATTTCAGCCTGCCTCCATAATAACAGCTTTGAGAAAATGGAATCAATCCGCTCATCTGATCTTTATCCCCTCTAATTATACTGCTGTGCCGGGTGATCCTGCTCAGGGCCTGGCATCTCCCCACAACTAACAGCCCAATGCAGCAGTTTCGCAAACCTCCCATACTTTGCTTGCCATTTCGTCTCAGTTGTTTTTTTCAGCAGCCTCTTTCTCTTGCTGCTTCTTCACCCGGTCTCCTGTCCCGCCCGTACGTTTGACTCTATCCTCATACGGCCTTCCTTGCACCGAGTTCACCCGCCCACTTTCCATCATCTGTCCACTTCCACTGCTCCACTGACTGACTCTCTAAGCCACCCTCTGTCAAACCCGCTCCGCCTTTCCGTCCCTGCACCATCTTTCTCTCATTTCTCCCTCTTTCTTTCATTCTTCCCTTTTTTCTGTATGTGTTTCCTTCTGTTCGCCCCTCTCTCTTTCTCTTCTGGCAGGCCTGCAGCGGTTCAGACCACATTGTATGTGCCTAACCAGGCTTGAGTCATTATTCCAAGTCCCCCAACCAGAACACAGTAAAATCCTTATTTACCATCCATGATGGAGGGAGAGAGGGAGGGCAGAAAAACTTTTGCAGACTTGGTGGTTGTCTACTGAGTGTAACTGTTGCAAGGAGCCATTAGCAGCAGAAGTGGAACAATTGTGTGAGGCTTTGAGCAGTTCAAAGTTTTTTTTAATATTCTTCATGGAAAATCAATATGCATTTGTCTAATTTGTGCAAAAATACAAATTATATAATCATTAAACTAAACCAACAGAGAAGTGCAAACACAGAACTTGATTCAATATTCAAACATCCTTCCTGCACTTTATTGACTTAATCTTACATGCATAGGGCAAGTGGTTTTTGCCATTTTCTGCTGGTTTCTGTTTAACTCGTAGGTGAGTCACATTAAACATCTTGCCTGAATATGATTTTTAAATAAATTACCCATAAAGAGGTAATTTATCAAATAAACACTGTAAAATCCTCTTTTCACCACCTCTCTTGATTGGAAGGAAAAACTTTTTCCTAAAAATTTATTTTGCTTGTTTATTGGTTTTCAACATGGCTCTATTCACAGGAAGGACATGTCAGTGAAGCGTTTAGTGTATGAAAATGGCCCTTCTGGCAAATCAACTTGATGTCAAACGCCAGATGCGACAGGATCAAACATTACAGGCTCCAAGCAAATACAGAAAGGTGTGTGCAACTTACGGGAGGTAGACCGTTCCTGAATGTAGCTTAGCACCTTCCCAGAAGCAATCTAGAGGAGTGATGATCAGACATGGGTGCAGTTTCTCTATAATCTAAAAAAAAAAAAAAACGCTATTACTGTCACATGCCCTTAGAGGTCATCCTCTGAAGTTTAAAATTGTCGATCTAAAAAGATGCTGTGACAATTCTTTCTTACCTGGTCCACAAAATTGGTTTCTGTAACAAGTTCTCCTGATTTGTAGCATAAATGTTCCAATTTCCATTGCCTGAAAACACAACAGTGGAAATTAGATGAACTATAATTTTGTGGACTACCATTAAAGCAGAAAACTTAGAAGAAATAGTGGCCAGTTACAGGACTTAAAATACACACTTTCCCAAATTTGAACCTATAATTTTGGTTGATAAAAAAGTCCAAGGACATGTTATGCATCAACTACTCAAAAAGAAACAACTCTTCAGAAGCTGGTGTGCTGTTACCTGTTGTACATGTAAACGTGCACTCTGCTGGCCTTTATGGCAGAGTCGAGGTGCTGCTTGAGCGCCTCTACGGTCAGAATGTTAGCACCTTCCTGTCGCGGCGTCTGTATCATGAGCTGAGGACTAAACATGGCCTCCTCTCCGATCTTCTGCCGCGTGTACTTGAGTTCCTGATTCACCCTGCCGCCCACTATGAAACAGAGGAGAAAAATGATGAAGAAGACTTTCAGATAATGCTCCATAACCTTTTAGTACTTTTATTTATAAGCAGATTTAAGAGGTGACAGGAAATAATATGGAGAAAAGAGGGATTAAATGCAGCATTAAACATTGCTTCAAACTCCACAGCTTAAAGGGATAGTTCACCCAAAAATTCATATTCTGTCATTAATTACCCTCATGTTGTTCCAAACTTGTAAGACCTTCGTTCATCTTCAGAACACAAATTAAGATATTTTTGATGAATTTTGATGTCCCCTCCACGTCTACCTGGCGCCATTTTGGAGAGTATCGCATACGTAAACAATGTATGCTGTTCTGTGTCAGCAGCACCGTATGTGGCTACGTTGTTTAAGTTGTTTACGCTTTGATCTTAATGTAGACAACGTATCCGCATACATACGTTGCATACGTATGTGATACTCTCCAAAATGGCGCTATAGGGTGATGCGAAGGAGACGAATTGTCGAATAAAGTCATTATCTTTGTTTTCCTTGCGCACAAAAAGTGTTCTCATAGCTTCGTAAAATTATGGTTGAACCCCTGATGTCACATGGATTATTTTAACGATGTCCTTTAAGTGACAACGATGTCCGTTTCTGAGCCTTGATCGTGTTAGGATCCTTTCTGTCTATGGGATGAGCGCTCGGAATTCATTAAAAATATCTTAATTTGTGTTCTGAAGATGAACGAAGGTCTTACAGGTTTGGTACGACATGAGGGTGAGTAATTAATGACAGAATTTTTATTTTTGGGTGAACTGTCCCTTTAATGTGTTGGGAACTAATTAAACAGTTTTGTATGGCTCTGTGAGCATTTTTGCCTTGTCCAAATGCCCCCACTTGCGGTCTTTGCACTTGACTACTAATATGACATATTTCCTGTATTTGGCCCAAGTGTTCAAGTGAGCATGAAGACCACAAGTGTGTGTCAAACTTTTCATTACCTGATGGGACACACTTATAGTGTTGTAAAAATGCAAGTGTTCAAATAGCTTTATTTTAATTTTAATTTTGAATACTTTGCAATTTAAAATAAACTTTTAATTGTCTGTTCGGTAGTCCCTATAAGATGTCATAATTTTAATTTGTGGTGCTTCTAATTAAGTGATAAAAATCAGTTGCAAATGTTGTACAAATAAATAAATATTGCACCAATAAAACATAAAAACACTGTTTTTCTACCAAATTATATGTAATATCTAATTATTATTAATATTTCACATACATTGGAAAGGTTTTCGTGACCTCTCACGAGATCTCAGCAAAAAATCTCACGATTTATTTCCACAACATGATGCATGATGGGATACACTAAGCCTTGAATACCGCTCCGGAGTGGTATTCAAGATAGTGTGGATTTAGTGTGCGTTAAGGGCACTGCGCATTGGCATTTTTAAGATCTGGGATAGTCTTGCGCACTTACTTCCTGTCACGAATACACACTCTCAAGTGGCCAAGACCGCAAGTGTGGGTATTTGGACAAGGCATTTTTTCCCCACTTTTCCATCCAACACACCAAACGATCAAACCCTCCACAATTGAAAACATTTTTTAAAAATGCAACAAAATGGTCCTAACTTCAGAAATAAAAACAATACAATTTTTGTAATAAATTTTCCAAAAAAGTTATAATTCAGTTCAATGTTCATAATACAATTAAGCTCAATATTTAGACCTAATTTGAGGTCAAACATGACTGAATGCAAGTTCATTCAGCAAAACATTCACAAAAGTGATTCAATTCATTAAAATAATTGACTAATAAGAGTAATTTGTTTGTCAACCCAGATGACACTAGTTGTAAAATATGATTTGTTTGCATGCAAAGACATTTTCGCTGTATTATTTTGCAGTAAACTGTCTTTTTAGCTCATCGCATTCAATTTATCAAGCTACAACTCACATGTGGCGAGGAACAATGAGTGTATATTTATTTATTCACTCATTTATTCACTTGTTAACATAAACAAGCAGTAAGCATGATAAAATGTCACTCATAATTCTTCAGTGACAAACAGTCATAACTTTCACTGCCGTCACACAGGGTCAAGCACAGTCTCATGATAATCAATCATATCCTCCAGCCTTGATGAAAGGAAACGCTAACACATGTACAGGCTCCCATATGTCCTGTTAACTTGACTTCAAAATGCCTTTCAGTACACCCTTTAACACCTGCAGTCTTCTTCCCTGCCTTCAAATTCAGGCCTATGAGTTATGAGTGTGCGCGCAAGTGCGTCTGCAAGCGCACACGTGTGTGTATGTGCTCGGCTGCTTTATTGCACTCGGGCAGTGGCGTCGTTGTGTGGCACACACAGCTACAAAAGCAGCCTTTCAAAGCGTCCTGCTGAACACCGTCCAAGCCTGACTCTCAAAGCTGTCGATTCTTCATGCGCTCTCTACCTGACCTCCGAGAATAGAAGACTTCTCCATTTCCAGGATCAAGCACCCTAGAGAAGCGGGCAACACTGTTCACAAGGACTTCACAGTTATTCTGAACCAGGTAATTGTACAGTCACAGACAGGTAATCTGTCAATTCCTCGTAACGTAATCAAGCAAATCATCTACTGGTGTGATGTGTTTTGGACGGCAGGTTGCGTGATTCTGAAGCTCCTCTGAGATGTCGAAGCAGGGAGGAGGGTTCATTCATGGTCAACTATCACACTTTGAAGCACTGAAGGTAAACGCAACCATATTTCACTAAACTATTCTACCAGAGAAGATATTCTGAAGGAATATACACAAAATTGAAAGCTTTATTTGTGATTTACAAGGGACAATCCTGTTTTTTAACACTTTACATGAGTTGTTCGCAATTGGTAGCAGCAAAAAAATAAATAAATTACCTTCAAATGTGCCATTAAAATAGACATGGTATCTAGTTAGATGTTAACACTTGAACTACATTTAACATTTGACAGTAGTTCAACAGACCATACAAGACACTAATTTGTGATCATTTTATTCTATTGTTGCTGGCACTATTTTTTTCCTGGCTGAGGCTAGTGGTCGACCGATATTTTTTTGACACCCGATGCCGATATCTTGGAAAGCGGAGTGGCCGATGGCCGATGGCCGATATAATTGTATTTATTTTAATTAATATTTAAGAAATTTGAAATCATTTGAAAATGGATTAAAAAATTAATTTGTAAACTAAACATACTTATACTTTAGATGGCAAAGTATTTTCCACAAATAAATAAATATTTAATAAAAATATAATTAAAAAGGAAGTAAACTGTAACCAACAAAGCACTCAGTATTCTGGGAAGTTTATGTGCATTGGGAATCATATTTTTTCAAATGAAGTCAAGGTAACACTCATTTTACATACAGCACACAGTGAAAATGACATGAATATGACAGTGGGCAACTGCATAAAGCGCAGCATAATTTGAAATCACGAATTTAATGTTTAAAGCATTAAATTTGCACAGACCGAAAGTCACGCAGAGAACACGCGATCATGCAGGTCACATGCACACTTCACAAGATCTCAACTGATCAACTGGATTCGACTAAGTTTGCAAGGTTGGTGAAATTACATTTTCATTAGCCATTCAAAGATTTGTTTAAATGATGGCAAACGAGAAAAAGAATTATAATGTTTGCCTTTCTATTACTAATAATATAAAAGCAATCGTTATAATACTTTTTGTATACATTTTAATTCCTTTGTTTAACAGTTCTATCAGATTATTAGACAGACTTCTATCTGTATTAGACAGAACTGTTAACGACGATGGCGGACAAGAGGGAGAATGTGAGCGCTGCGTGCTCAGGCGCTGCCGCTCTCAGCGCCGTCAAAATAAAAGGCCAGAAAGCGTATCACAAAGGTTAAAGGGATAGTTTACCCAAAAATTAAAGATTAAGATGTAAATATCAGGTAAAATTAAGATGTTTAAGATGAAATCTTACGTGTGTCAAAGACTGACACGGAAGAGAAGAAATTGTTGAGTAGTCTGATGTCACATGGATTATGTTAATGGTGGTATTTGTTGCTGTCTATGCAAGGTCAGAAAGCTCTCGGATTTTATCAAAAATATCTTAATTTGTGTTCCGAAGATGAACGAAGGTCTTACAGATTTGGAATGACATGAGGGTGAGTAATTAATAACATAATTTTCATTTTTGGGTAAACTATCCCTTTAACCTTTGTGATACGCTTTCTGGCCTTTTATTTTGACGGCGCTGAGAGCGGCAGCGCCTGAGCACACAGCGCTCACATTCTCCCTCTTGTCTTGTCTCCCTCTTGTTATTTTTGGGTTAACTATCCCTTTAAACATTATGGCACTCACATGAGCCCCCTTCAACTGTAATTAATTTAGGGGTCTGAGACCTACATGCAAAACAAACTGTAACAAGAGATATTTAGAAAATATTCTTCTGTAGAACCCAAGGAAAATGGATTGTGTGACCTTGAACTAAAAGGCAGCAACTTTAAGAGTGCTCTCTCTACTTTTGTAGCACATTTACAGTGACATGAACAAAGAAAAATGAAGTCAGAATCATATGTTAGCGATTTCCAAAGTTTTTCTAAGTTCTTACACTTACAGGTTTCAAACCCCAAGTCCTCTCCCACCTAGTTGTGTGTGGCAACAAGACTTGTTTTTTCCACACTGAACGTGTGAGAATGGTCTCAATTTCACGCAGTATAAACAAGCATAAAACAACAAAAAATAAAACAAATTCGCATCAATTCATCTTTTTTGACTGTTTTTTTCCCCTCAAAACCACTAAAACTTCAAAAATACAGAAACATCTATCATGCTTGGTAACTAAAGCAAGAAAATGTCTTTTTCTCATTAACCTACTCCAGCTCTGGGGGGAAGGGCTGTGTAAAACAATCTGTAACAACTTATAAGCTATAACCCAATTTAACAATGGTTTTCAATTCACGAGACAGACATACGTTGAATATTTTCAAACCGTTGTAATTGTATTAAAGTTGAAACCATGCTTTTT